GTAACCTTATTATAACAAACTATATTCATACAAGACAGCTAATTTGGAAATGTTTTGTAAATTACACTGCCCATGTATAAATGCAATATATGAAGCATTATATATGAATGAAAATATGTAAATAATTTTTTTTCTTGGCACTTGTGCACTAAGGACTACAAGAGAGGAAGTAAGTCAGAGATCTATGGACAATTGATGTCATCTCACTAATTTGCTTTTTTTAGGAAAATCCGGAGAGACTACCCCTCCAAAATCCTTATTCAGCTGTGTGCTGCATTACTTCTACTCAACTTAGTTTTCCTCCTTGACTCGTGGATTGCACTATATGATACACGAGGCCTCTGCATTGCAGTTGCAGTATTTCTTCACTATTTCCTCTTGGTTTCCTTCACCTGGATGGGCCTAGAAGCTTTCCACATGTATCTGGCCCTTGTGAAAGTCTTTAATACCTATGTACGGAAATACATCCTTAAATTTTGTGTTGTTGGTTGGGGTATGTATTTTATATTGTTGTGGGGTTTTTTTCCATTTTGGATGCTAAATAGAAAAATCCTCTTATCAAGTATTTCGGTGAATATGACACAGTTCAGAAATGAAAATGAAGCAGTCATTAAATGTTATGACCTTGCAGTGACCAGGTATTCATTATCAGTAAACCTGGTCCTATATATTCTACCTTTCTGAAGTAGGGATCTCCCCTCTGACAGTAGAACTGAGGCTGCTGCAATGCAAATTGATAATGTATTTTCCTTGCACAAGTACGATAGAACTGATTTTTGGATGTGCATATGTCCGTTTCCATTTGCTAGATCAGGTGTATTTTGAAAAGAGATGCCAATTAAGTATATATATTCCATTTCTGGGTTAGCACTGTTGCTAACAAAAAGCAGCAAAACAGATCTAACTGGATAAAGGATGAAGAGATTCTGGACCTGATTATCCTCTCTGGCCACTTGAGTAAACATGAGTGAAAGCACTAAAATCAATAGAATTGTTTTCTTAAAACAGATGTAAGAAAGAAAATCAGGTATTCTGTATTTCATGTTTTAAATCAGGTTGATGAGTGATGGTATTTGTTTCCTTACTCAGAAAGGTTTGAAGCTAGCTATGGAGAATAACTCTTGTTTCTTTGCAAGTTATGCTCCTGAGCAGTTTGGATGCTCCAGTTTGTAGATTCTTTCAGACAGCTATCAGTCAACAGAATTCAGCAGACAAATTTCAGAAACAAGTTGTAGATTTCACAGAAAAAAATATAAAAATTTTAAGTCCTCATAATATTGTCTTTGTCATGATTTTCACTTATGTGTTTGCTTGTGATTTTTTAGGGTTACCAGCAATAGTTGTGTCCATTGTGTTGGCAGTATCACCAGATAATTATGGACTTATAACCACTGGAAAGGTTTCAATAAACAGACCTGACGAATTGTGAGTTAAAGGGAGGTGCTTTTTTGAGGGTGGGTGGGAGGGAGGTCCTATGAAATTGCTTTTCTTTAAAGTAAAGTTGAGGAAGGGAAGGCAGCAATGGAAGACCTTTGAAATGGTATAGCTCTACAGTATGCCATGTGTTTTGTGGTTATTGCCTATCTGAAAGCTCTTATCCTTTGGCCAAAAAAATACTTTTTACTAAAGAGGCAAAAATCGTTTGCATATGCAACAAACTACACCTTTATCTCATTTTTATTTTACTTAATTTCTGTTTCCAGTAATGGTTGACAGACTGTTCTTGTGTTCTAGCTGCTGGATTAAGAATAGAATTGTCTTCTATATTACTGCTGTGGGATACTTTTGCCTGATATTCCTGATCAATATCAGCATGTTCATTGTTGTGCTGATCCAGCTCTGTCGTATCAAAAAGAAAAAACAACTTGGTGCTCAAAGAAAAACCAGTATTCAAGACCTTAGGAGTGTTGCTGGCCTCACATTCTTGTTGGGAATTACTTGGGGATTTGCTTTCTTCACAGTAAATGAGGTGTTTACTTTCCTCTTTACCATTTTCAACACTTTGCAAGGTAAGTTTGTCTTCCATGTGACAGCCCATTGCATACCATATAACGAACAAAAGATTTGGAAAAGGCATTTTCTTGATTTAGTAATGAATGTGTAATTTTGATATGGGCTTTAACATGTTAATTACATTAGAGATGATACTGCTTTACTGTAATCTTAAGTTACCGTTATGTTACAGTAAGGTACAGAAAAGCTAGCTACTTTTCATAGGTATAGTATATTTCTGTCTATAAATATTATAATTTTTAAAATGTATGCAAACCAAACACTACTGGAAGTGACTATTTCTCTAGTCAACAGATCAACTGTAAATACTTACTGTAAGTATTCACATAATAATGCAATTAATGTAGTGAAAAACTGTATCAGTTCTCCATTTACGCCTAAGGCTTAGGGGTGAGATGTGACATTCAACAGAGGGCCGTTGAGACAGGCAAGGCTGCAACATCTGAAAATTAGTGGTCTGACTTTCAGATTAAGCATGGCCTTTAGTACTTAAGAACATACAGGAAGCAGATATGAAAGCATGCAGCTTTGCAAAGGCCAGGATGCTACTGGACGTATCCAAAAGCAGAGTTTCAGAGGCTGCAAAAGCTTTCATATAAATAGGAGGTACTGTAGGTGCCTACAGTTATCTAAGTATACCTGAATTGCCCTACTGAAGTTTGGATCCAAACTTCTGCTTAAATGGCACTTCAGATGACTGGCTGGATGATTTCCCAGAGAGACTAAAGCAATGGAAACTGCAGTTCAGTGTATGTACCCCTCCTCTATTTGCTATGTTGATTTTTAGAACCTTACTTTTTGGTAGCTTGAGAGGTTGAACCCAGGTCTTGCATGGGATTGTGTTAAACTAACACAAGTCAGAGTAATCCGTTATGTGAAGCTAAATTTACCTTTTACCCAGTTTTAAGTCAGGTGCGCGGCAAATTTTGATATTAGAAATAATAAAGGTGCATAAATTGTATTGACTTTAATGAAGCTTATGCCAGTGTTTCAAAACTGTATTTAAAAATGGTATAGAACTATCTGTGTAGAGCAACACTTAGTTACATTAAATAATTCATCCTGAAAGCCAAAGTTAAGAAAGATACTTCAGCAAAAACAGATGTGAGTAATCTCTTCTAGTGGGATTTTACGTGCTTTACTGGCTTTAAAAGCAGTGTAAACATAACATACATGCACATCTGCACCAGTCTGATCATTTAGTTTTTTCTTGCTGTTCATTTCTATTCATTATAAACCTAACAGGTGTTCTCAGGGACACATTGTAGCTGGATAATTGTGCAAAGACTGACTGCCACTTTTCCTTAAAGGGGGACAATGGCAATGGACTTTTAAGCAGGGAAAGTGAGGTCCCACCCTGTGTCAGTTAGAAGTCAATGAGAAACAGACAATGAGTCTGTAATGTGGCACTGGCAAGAAATAGAGATGAGCTCCATCCCTTCTAATTTGTCTTTGTGGTAAAGGGGTAACTTTTATTATTATTTTAGATACAAGTTATTTTCTTTGTATGAATGCTCATAATTTTGTAGCACTACCGATGCTATTACAGTTGGTGGTAACAGGTTAGCTGCTAATAAAAGATGGGACAGTGTCACACTGTGCGCCAACAGCTGCATAGCCTGACAGTGTCATCTCGTACCCTCTGTTTGACAGTGCTTTGAATTCTTTTCCAAAAGCATTAAGTAAATTTCAGGATCCACAGAATTCTTTCCCTCTCATTTGATAGAAGTAAACTTTATGAATTTTGTGGATTTGGTTATATTTATTGTTCTTGCATTTGTGTGTATGATTCCTCTCATCTATGTAACAGAAATATACTCTTCAATGTTCAGAATTGTAAACTTTTCCACCAAAGAATGGCGTCATTACTTTTGATTAGAAATTTAAAAGAAATGAAAGAAAACCAAAACATTGTAGTAAATGTCAATTTTGCAACATTCTCTAATGTTACTGCTTTTCAGGGTTCTTCATTTTTATCTTCTATTGTGTGACAAAGGAGAATGTCCGTAAACAGTGGAGAAGATATCTCTGTTGTGGGAAATTCAGGCTGGCTGAAAACTCTGGTAAATATGAATTATTTTTTTTTTAACTTCTGAATACTTATATTCAATGTTAAGTTCCTAGTAGTTTGTAATACTTTTTTTTAAAAAAAAATTAAATCATGTTGCTGCAGTTGCAGTTCTAATTTATTATCCAATGTATAATAAACCTCCAAAATTACAGTCTTTAAAGGCGGTAGTTGATGATGTAGTCCTTACATGCTGTAGCATTAAGCTGTTAACTGCGGCTGACCTCTTTCACTGCAGTATAAAGGCATGTTTTTGCAGAAGACTTTTGATCAGTTAGAAACTGTAAGATTTGTTCCAGCTTTGGAGTCAACTCTAGTTTTACCAGTGACTTCCACGAAAACAAGGTGAAGCACAGTTTAAAGCAAGAAAACTGTAAATGATTCTATGTTATATTGTTATTCAGTAGTTGACTGCTTATAAAGCTATGTACTTTTTATACACTTTTAACTTAGATGATCAGCTGTACTTCAGTTATTTTTCTGATCTGATCTGCAGTCCTAAAACTGTGACAGTTGTCTGCTTATATTAAAAAAGGGACAAGAGAAAAATGAACTAGATTTAAATAATTTTAGACATCAAGAATCATGAAATTCTTAGGAGGATATCATTCTGTCTAGAATACTGTGAGGAGAGTGGGTACAGCCTTGTTTTGATTTTAATTCAGTTGCATTATTAACTATATTTTTATATACTGCTTGTATGAGTTGTGCTATTTTCTGTTACTTGTATCTATTGTAGACTGGAGTAGAACTGCTACTAATGGTTTAAAGAAGCAGACTGTAAATCAAGGAGTATCCAGTTCTTCAAATTCCTTACAATCAAACAGTAACTCCACTAATTCTACAACACTGCTAATGAATAATGATTATTCAGTGCATGCAAGTGGAAACGGTATGTATAATGCAAAATAGTACTTGTCAAGTTAGGTTTTTTTCTTGTCTTAAACCAGAAGTGCTATGCTTTTTCCATGCTAATATAAACTGAAGTGCTGACAAAATATTACTCATAAGTATAGGGTCAGAATATTTCAGGATGTCCTAACAAATAATACTAAACATCCGTTTTAGGGAATTATAGACAAAGTTTTAAAATACCCATTTCTCCTTCTCAGTGGGAACTCTTGATTTATATATTAAATAGTAGGTAATATTCATTATTAGAGCAATTACTTACTAGAAACTGCTGTTAACACTTTTCTTGTCACCTGAATATATGACGATAAGCTTCAAGCATGTTTTAAAACAGTGCATGTTTTAAACTTTATTAAAACAAACATTGCCTGAAGAATAAAGAAATATAGGGTAATAACACAGCTTGAAAGTACGAAAGAAATCATGTAGGAGGTAATATGAGGAAGAACATTAATGGCATACTCACATGGAAGCTGCTTATGAGAGAAGAAGTAAGAGAAAATGGAGACTGTAACTTATAAAATCACCTCAGTGAAGAGACCACCGCTGAGAGAGCTTGCCTCACTGTTCGCTGCAGAGAAAGTATTGAAACAGAATTTCTCTGTAGCTCTTTGTTTCCCATGTGGGGTTTTTAGGAATGTTTTTGCCTAACAGAAATACATCTTTGTTGCTGGAAACAATTCTTCAGAAGTAAAATTCTCTCTCCTTCCTGTACTAACCCAGTACTCTCCTCTGAACTGTTATCCTCTGCGCTGTTCCTGAAAAGTTGAAATGCAGGTGGATGTAGCACTCCAATCAATTTCACTTGCAAATTGGTGTGGCTTGTTTATCTATTGAGAAGACTAGATATGAATTTCCACTGAATGTACTTCTTAAAAATTATCTTTTTTCAACAGACATAATGTAGTTTTTCACACTTCTACTGGACACACGTCATGCTGCTGATTTGAGCTCTCGGTAAAGACAATCAATTTTTCAAAGAGAAAAATAACTTATAAATCTATAATGTATGAAAGCTTAAGTTGAGCAAAACTTACAGGACATTACTCCTGTGTGCCTGAGGTATTTTTCCCAGCTGATCAAGAGCTGAGGCTAAGAAGTCATGACATCAGCTAGATTGTTTAGTGTGAAGTTGTAGAACATGCTCACAGAGGCTGTGTTGTCCTTGTTTCCTGGCATATGCTCTCAGAAAACAGCAGATAATCAATAAGAGAATCTCAGCAGATAATCTCTCAGATGGCACGGAATAAAAGCTGTGGAACTTGTTATGTGCTGCTCCCTTAATAGGTTACTGTCCATTTGGATGTACTAGCTGCATATTGTACAGAAATCACAACACTTCAGGAAATGGCATTTGGACATGGCCTGAACAACTTTCCAAATTCAGCTTGTAAAATCAGTTCTTTTTTCTCTTGTCATTCCTTTACATAAAACCTCTCTGTTTAGATACCACATAATGCAACAATTAACATACTTTGTATCTAACAAGTCAGTAGAGAAACAGAATCCAGTAACTCTCACTGTCATCAAATACAAAGCAAGGCAATATTTTTAGGTAGAAGTAATACCTTTTGAAGAGACAGAAATTTTCAGGCACAAAAGCCTGCATGTTTTGTAGGGTTTTTTTACCAGCTATGTTAGTTACTCTGATGAAAGATGCCACTTCTCCCTGCAACATTTGACGTGCTTATACACAGCTACAAAAGCATTCTGGCTACTCTTCTCAACAGAAAGAAAGATAGCAACTTGTTCGTTGTAGCAACTGAGTGAATGATCCTGTTGTGGCTTTCTGGAACAAGTTTTTGTTGATTTGGGTAGTATTTTAGAATGAGATGCAAAATTGATGGTCTAAACCATTGAGCGATGCCAATTCCGTGTGACATGCTCCAGTTCTGTCCTAGTTTATTCACATAATTAGATCATTCCAGTGTGAGAGTCTCTATGTCCTGTGTCAACAGCTTCTCAAACAAAGCAACTGAAATAACTTCGTTAGAACTTTGCTCCTATTCACTCATGAACACAGATGTCTCAGATGACTCACCTCATCTCCTCTTGTATTCCACTGTATGTTTTGAATGCTGTGAACACCGTGCCACATCTTCCATTCATATCAAAATAGTTGTATTATACCTTGCCTGCATAGTTTCGACTAAATAATTCTTCTGGGTCCTTAGGACTTCCACAAGAAGAGGCTAAACTTACGCTTGGATAGAGTTGGTCCTCCAAGCAAAGCTCTTTGAGGCAATTCCTTACACTTAATCATCCAAACATGGGGCAGTTGTGTCTTAGAAGAGTTGGGCAAATGCCTCCAAAAGGAAGTTGACTGATGTTAGACAGGAACATGGGACCTTCTAATTCGTGGTACCTGATTTCCCTGCTCTTACAGCTAGAACTTCAAAATAACATTGCAATGCTTCATTTTAAAAAGTGAGCTTTAAAAAGTGAGAAGTTAAGACCTATGTCATAAATGTACTGAGCTGTAAACACTTAACGGTTTTGGCCTCACTACTTCCACTGAGATGCTATTCCAGATGCAGGATTGAATGATTTGCCATGGTAAGTTTGGGGTGTCTATACAGCTTGTGTCTTTGCTTGCCTACTGGGCTGTGTAACTTCATCTTTTTGTGGCATACTTATACTTCCTTGTTTTCAATTTTTCTCTTACAGGTTTGTGTGTTTGGGAAACTACCATTAAGTACCACAGGGCTGAATCTGCAGATTTCCTTACTGACAAACAAAAAAAACCTTTCTGAATTTCTTCACAGAATAGCATTATTTTTTTCTCAGATTTTGCCCTAACATTAAGGCACAGCTATTTCAAATGCTTCTTCTAAAATAAAACAGTTGTAGTCAGGCAGGGGATTAAACAGTTATACATGCACAATTACAGTGTCAATCTTCTGCTCATCTTACCCTGTCTACATTTGTGCCTGTTGAAGTGCTTGATGGCCTTTTAGATTAATAATTAAATATTAGACTTTGTATTTAAGAGGTTTTGCATAATCTTTTGGGCCATTGCTTCCATTTTGTGGGTCCAGTGGCAGCTCAGTAGTTTGGCATGGAATTTGTAATCTTTGCCTGACAGCCATCATCACAAACCCACTCCCTTAAACTCCCATCCTAAGATGTTTAAATTAAGGTATACTATTTACATTTTCAAACTGGTAGTAAGCTTTACCAGCTAGAAAAACATGTTCACATCATATTTAAAAAAATACCGTCTCTCATTCCAAAGAAAAGTTTCCCAATTAGACTTTGATACAACTGATATGCTGACATACGCTTGAATCAGTAGGGTAACTGCTGACAGGTATGCAGTCTGCCTAAAGTCGAGGATTAGTTTCTAGAGGAAGCGTTTGGGTAGACCGATACTAAACCTGTGTGTTGGGGGCCCTGGCCCAAGCAGAATAGAGAAGAGCAGTTCAGCCCAGTCACTCAAGCAGCAGAATCCTTTCTGGAAGGATTAAGTGCAGGGAGGGATGTCACCAAATACTTCTCCCTCTGGGGACACCAACAACAAATACTTGAAGAGCATCCTGTAATGCAGCCCTGCCCCTTCTCAAGGGGTTCAGAAACTTGAGGTAGTGAGAGTGGAAGGGAGAGGACAGAGTAGAAGCAAGATTCTGTTCCAGGATATTTGAGGTAATTGATGGACTGAATCCAGGCATACTAGAGAGGATCTGATTTTGATCCACAGAACAGAATCATCTTTCACTGCCTAGAGATTTCTCACCAGTGTTCTTCCTCCTCCTCAAACCATAAACCACAAGCAGTTTCTACCTTCACTGTTGTGTCTTTTCAGTAGATTTACTCAAATCTACTGAATCATGATGATGTTTGTATATGAAGTGTTGTGTGTATTAACACAAATAGCAAACTTGGATGGTTTATGTTTTTTATTAATTCTGTTTCTGGTATAAATGATAAATGACAGCTCTGCATCTGTGTTTGTGAACTAATTTCTCAGCATTTAACAAAATGATCCCCTCCTTAAAGAAATACCAGTTTTGTTTTTGGTTTCTCTGTTGTGGTATTCCTTACAATTTACTCCTACTGATATGTTTCATATGATATCAGGATCCTGGCAGATCTTTTAAACTTGACTGCTTTGCAAAAGAGAAAAAAGAAAAAAAAATACAAGCAGAAACATTTGCACAAATACTTAAAAGAAAAAAATCCTAGTTCTCATCAAAATTGTCTAGAACGTGATGCATAGAGGTAGGAGATTCTGTCCAGTCAACTGAGCATTTGTGGAGCATTTCTTTAACAGGCTGCAATCAGCAGTGCTATTACACGTGTTCCTTGTAGATTCACCTAAAAGTGTAAGATTCTCAGTTTAAATATGGCTTAGACCCATGATTGAACCTAGGCCATATTCTGATTGCCCTCCAGAAATAAATGCTGCAAGTTGAGTGCCTTTCAAAGGAAAAAAAATATCCTTGTTTTCTCAAACACCTTCTTGTTTCACATGCATGGCAAACCTGAGAAACCTTTTAAACTTAACTTGTTAAAACAAAACCAGAATGAGAAGTATTTTGCATCTTATCTAGTGATATTTATTCCAAGTCAAAGTCTACATTCTGAGAATTGTGACCTTCACTGCTTGAAATATGGAATTCTATTGTGCATAAATACATTAACATCTCTCAAATCTCTTACTTGATTTCACACAAGAAAATAAATATATACAGAATATGTACAGAAAAATCAACATTCTGAAATTGTTGCAGGGATAAAACGAGAGAGCATGAACTCCGTACAGTGACTGAAAAAGCATGGGAGACTTGATTCTGAACCTTTCTGACAGGGGATGCACTTTTTTTGTTTCAACAGGCCATCTTTCCAGTGAGAAGAATGGTGTTTCTTTCAGTGCCCAGAACGGCGATGTGTGTCTCCATGACTTTTCAGGCAAACAACTTGTATTTCAAGAAAAGGATGATACAGGCAGCCAAAAAAGCCATATCTCACTCAGAAGGACTTCAAAGAGGGGAAGCCTAAATTTTATTGAGCAAATGTGATTTCCTTTCAAACGGCACATTGTTTTACAGTGTGAAGTAGTTATTTACTTTAACAGTTTTACATAATGTGAGCAGACCAAGAACTGATTTTATTTAATATATGGTACTGGAACTTCAAGGCAGCCATGCAATGGATTGATATGGACAATTATTAAAACAAAAAAAAAAAAAAAAAAAAGAAAAAGGAAGCTACTATTTTGACAAAGTATCTTGGATGTCAAATTAGAACTGGCACATTTCCATTTTGATTCTTCATTAGAGGTTTTTTTGAGGTTTTTTACATTTAAAGGAAAGTTTTGTTTAGACTTTTTTTATTGCAACTAAGTTTATCTGCATATAATACATAGTATAAATGTAGGAAGTTACAACTTGTGCGTACGAATGGTGTTATCTTTAAAAATGTTAGCTCACTGTCTTCAATTTTCGTATGTTGTAGTAGCAGACTGTAGTGATGTACATAAGCAGAAAAATATCAGCTTTTAAGCATCTTAATGATACTTTTATATTTATTTCTTGTAATATAAATTTAAATATTCCTATGTATAGAAAAATAATTGGTATTTCGTTTTAACTTTTATTGTAAGTTTGCATTTTTCTTTAATTGAGAATAATTAACTTCAACATAGAATGATACAGAAGTTAATTTGTTCAGGAAGTGAAATCACTTAGAGTGGTTTAAACTTATTCACAAGATACAGAGCTGTAAATACAAACACTTCTCAGTCTTGAACTTTAGCGACAGCTTAGCACACCACAGAGGAACAGAAACTGGGTATCATCAAAGTAGAGTGCCATGAATGAGGGAACGATAAATAACGTGGTCAGTACATTATTAAATACAACTAAGTTACGTTAGCTTGAGTAAGTCAATGGGAGCTTTTGCCATGGATTTCAGCAGGGTCAGTATCTTATCTTGAGTGGTGGTTCCAGGTATTTAACACACTGCCATTTCTCATTTGCAATGATACAGAAGAAGTGTTATTTTTTGAAGAAAAAATACAGAGAATAAATTCTAGCTGCTATATTCAGTAGTCGAGAAATTGTTACATTGTGTGGCTGTATTTTAAGGGGCCACTCTTGAGCTGTTCTAATCAGTATGTCTGCTTGTACTTTGGCCCTTGGTTGGCAAGCCAAATCCTGAGGCCCTAGCTCAGTTATTCCTGAAGCAAAATTGCATTCCCTTTGTGATGTTTGTCTGGAAAAAGCTGGATTTTGGCTCTTTGTGCACAACAGCTGATAACCCGTAGAACATTGTGAAAATTCTTCCTGAACAGAAATTAGCCTGAGCCCTGGTCGTGCCACTTCTTCCTCACACAGGTGCACAGCTGTGGCCGTTACTTTTACCCCTTGTGCTCTTGGGCAAAGGTTGGATGCTCCTGGAGCAAGAGCTAGAACAAACTGGCACTGCACTGTGGAGTGCCAGACCCTGTAAAGGGGATTTCTTGAGGCAGATGCACGCTGGAGGGGAGCAAGGGCTTCGCATTCCCAAAGGACTCAGTAGGGAGCCCTGGAAACGCTCTTCTCAACAAAAAGCATCAGTTAAATGCCGCCTTGTCTGGGGGCTCTGTTGTAGCTTGGCAATCGGAGCTCTTCAGTACTCAAACCCTCTTGTGGTTCTGTAGGCAACGCATGGGTTCTGCTGGTCACGTATGTCCAAGACTACTCTGAATATGCTTTTAAAGTGAGAATTTAAAGTATTTGTTGTGTTTATCTACAAGGTTTTAACTGCATGTTAATAGAAGATTGTGCTGGAATGCTAGTAGCTAGAATGCATTTCTGTGAATGCTTTAACTATTTGGCTCACTGCCTTTGCACTGTTTCTTGTAAATTTATTTAATGTTCTTGTATTTATATTTTCAACTGTAAAAAAAAAGTAATAAATTTACAGGAAGTAAAACATGTAAAACATATAAACTTTGCCTTTTAGATAAATGTGTTGTTATACTGGGCTGTGTTACAATTCGTCAGATTACACGAGCTGCAGTATGTAACCTCTTGGGAAGAATGCTGACCTAGCCCTTACATTTATTGTCTTCTACATATTTTACCTTTTATGGTTCCGGCAGATCTGGCTTTTAGCAGAGAAAACCCCGACATAAGTCGGTCCAGTCAATGTCAAGTCCGGTCAACAGTGCAAGTCTTACATGTTCTGTCTTTCATTCTATCGGATCTCAAAACGGCTAAAAAAAAAAAAAAAAAGGCTTCCAACAATGTTCTGTCCTTTTGCATTTTATCTTACGAGCTCACAATGAGGACGTATAAAGTCGCCTTTATCTTTGACAATTCCGCCTGACTTTTGGTGCCTGCCGTCCCTCAGCTCGCCCTTCTCCTGCTGCTTCCCAGGGCAGCGTGCAGAGGCTGCGAACACCGCAGGGAAAGTCTCCTGGTTGTTCAGAAAAGCTGAATTTGGGGATTTCAAGTGTCCCGCCTGCACCGAAGCGCACCTGCTCTCTGGGGGTCTGCAGGCTCGCGCGCCTCCTCCCGCTGGAACAGGGCGCGCTTCCCCT